CTTAGATTTATATATTGTGTGGTAGCAGTTTAATTTAAATACCACCACATTTTAGGTTTAACATTGATTTTTTATCTCACTTTATACAGATTTTGTCTTAGAATTATATATCTTTTGTGGTAGCAGTTTAATTCAAATACCACCGCATGTTAGGCTGAATATTGATTTGTTGTCTCACTTTATACAGATTTTGTCTTAAATGCTACCACATGTTAGGTTGAATATTGATTTATACATTTTTTTGTCTCACTTTATACATATTTTGTCTTAGATTTATATATATTGTGTGTTAGCAGTTTAATTCAAATGCCACCACATGTTGGGCTGAATATTGATTTTTTGTCTCACTTTATACTGTTTATCTTAGAATGATATTTTGTGTGGTAGCAGTTTATTTCAAATACCACCAAATTTTAGGCTGAATATAGATTTTTTGTCTCACTTTATAGGGTTTATCTCAGAATGATATGTTGTGTGGAAGCAGTTTAATTAAAATGCTACCACATTTTAGGTTGAATATTAATTTTTGCCTCAATTTATAGGTTTTATCTTAGATTTATATATTGTGTGGTAGCAGTTTAATTTAAATACCACCACACGTTAGTCTGAATATTGATTTTTTGTCTCACTTTATACAGATTTTGTCTTAAATGCTACCACATGTTAGGTTGAATATTGATTTATTAATCTTTTTGTCTCACTTTATACATATTTTATCTTAGATTTATATATATTTTGTGGTAGCAGTTTAATTTAAATGCTACCACATGTTAGGCTGAATATTGATTTTTTTGTCTCACTTTATAGGGTTTATCTCAGAATGATATGTTGTGTGGAAGCAGTTTAATTCAAATACCACCACATTTTAGGTTTAATATAAATTTTTGCCTCAATTTATAGGGTTTATCTCAGAATGATATGTTGTGTGGTAGCATTTTCCTTTAAATACCACCACATTTTAGGCTGAATATTGATTTTTTTGTCTCACTTTATAGGGTTTATCTCAGAATGATATGTTGTGTGGTAGCAGTTTACTTCAAATACCACCACATGTTAGTCTGAATATTGATTTTTCCTCTTGTTTTTTCCAGATCTGTGTGAAATGGAGGGCCTGCGTGAGCTGATCCCGTTCTGCAGAGAGCTTTTGGGGCAGAGGCCCCGCCGGGGGCTGCTGAAGGTCTACCTGGTGGGCTCCGTATTGGCCGTGGTGGGGACCGCCATCGGGATGGTGGAGGTCCTGTGCCAGCCGTTCATTTCCGTGGAGCCGCTGGACGCCGACCTGCTGCTGATGAGCCGCCTGCTCACCGAAATCAAGACCCAGCCGAGTGTCCGGGGTCTGGACATCGAGGAGGAGAAGCAGGAGGAGGAAATATCTCAAGATGGCGGGACCCAGACCCAGGACTTAGATTTCTTCAAGACCCAGAGGTTCCGCCAGAGAACCAGCAGCATCCGCCAGCACGCCTCCTAAAGCCGGCCGGATCCAGACTCACGGGACTGAGATATTTATTAGACTCCTCCACACACACAAACACACACACACACACAAAAAAAACAACCGAAGATTAACAGGTGCACAAATCTGAGGCGCTGTGTATTTGAATCTGTGGGTGATGATGTGATGTCAGATGGACAGTGGGGGAAATAAATATTTGACCCCTTGCTGATTTTGCAGGTTT